AGTTGCGTTATCGAAACGTAATACACTACTTATTAAAACCCAAGTAAAAAACGATCTTTATTTGACATAGATTGCTCCAAATGATCTTGACACCAGTTCTTTGATTAGCCAAGTGCGCGTAATATATTCGACTTGTTAGTGTAAGCGGACGTTTCTGAATGTGACCGTTAATGGTACAATTTTCATATTACCAGAATATATATTTTCCGACATTCAGGCAAAGTGAGTTAACTGTGCAACATGTAGGTAGTTTAAATAATAGCACCGTTACCTTTATTTAAATATGTAACTTCCTATTCAATCGGACTTTTTCTTGATGTAAAGCAAGAATTTAGAAATCTATTCCTCGTGTCCCGAACTGTTCATTTATCTAACAATCCTCATATGTCATACTCACCTGACATCCGTCCTCTGAACATAGCAGCCAATTCTGAAAAAGGTAATATCAAGAAAATAAACATAAATTCAAAAAGGACATTAACTCAATCGTTCGCATTCTATAATATTAATAGAATACAGATAGATTCGTTGACGAGTTTTTGTACGCATTGTCACCTACGGATAGGCAGCGTCAATATGTTGCAAGGCGTCCACTTTATTACACATAACACTATATGCGCTCTTCTTCTGCTCTTCCCCTGCTTCTCTTCCTCAATCGGTTTTATTTCCACCAGTTTTTCTGTTAACAGTCAATACAATTTACAAGGTCAGGATTCGCCCGGCGGTGAATTAAAATATTCATATATTTTTACTTTATATTAAACATATTATAAAAAGAGAACTATTTAAAAAAACTAGTTCTGCAACACAAAAAAAACAGCAGAAACATCAAAGTATTCTTAAAAATATCTAATCGTTCCAGGTTGTGTGGCTGAATATAATGAGTAGCTTGTGTACGATAGACGGTTGAAGCCCTGACTTTTGTTACATATTCAAGAAGAGTTATTTGTCAGTAATATAATAAAATTCATAAACAAAGTCATTTAAAGTCAAAGCTCCTTTGAATGCCTGAAATACTATCTTCCTCTTCTTCTTTTTCTCTCAACACTACACACCGGAATGGGTCTTGGTGTTGGCGAAATAAATTCCCAACACAATATATTTTAACATATTTTATGTTTTGTGTCACACAAGTTATCCTATGTTTGACTTTGGGTTCCAACACATGCGCATTGTTAAAAAACAAAAGGTTCGTTATAAAATATCATACAGAAAATATCGTGTAAATTGTGTTTAAAAAATAAAGGTTTTATTGTGAAAAGTTGCCTAAACTATTCCTAGCGTTCTCACCAGCGAAGTTTCCTTAATGTTGAAAAAACCCAACACTTGGCTGACTGCACATCCTGCTTCCATCTAACGTGGTCATCCATCATAGTTGGCTGAGTAGCCCCATTGTTCTTATTTGACCATATTTTATCTCTCCACCGCATTCATGCGCATCCTAAGGGTCTTCTCTCTATCGGGGCTCCTTCCAGATTAACTTTGGGAAGGTGGTTATTAAGCAGTCAATAGACATGGTCATCTTAGGCGTTGAGATTTAGTTTCTTGGACGACGTTGGTCAAAAAATGTCCGTTTTTGGTTTCGGTTGGTATTTAGTTTCAATGATCCTTCTAAGGATTTTTACTTCCATTTTTTGTCAGCATCTACGTCTCACACACATACATGAGCACCGGTCTAATCACTGTTTTATATATCCTGATGTTTTAGATTAGTGTTAGGCTTGTGGATTTAATAGTGTTGTATAGGCTATACACACTTTACATACACATCTTTACTTCCTGAATTCTCTATTTTGTCTCTTCTACTGTGAACTACTATCTAAGAGAATTTACATCTTGGTAAATTTTGCTGTTGTAACCATGCATTTTGTCTTATTTGGTGAAATTAACATATTAAATCTTCTGGCTGTTATATTGAATTATCATACATAAACATAAACATGTATCAGTTGTGTATGGTCGAAAAGAGATTATTTTTAATGTACTACTTGTTTTTCGTTTATTTTGCTTTATCATCCGCATTAAATTAGCAACGGTATTAAATATTGTATGTACGATAATAATAATAGGGGTTAAAATATAAAAAAATAGTCATTTTTTTAATTTAATTTAATTACTTTTTGTTTTGAATATTTACTGAGTCCTTCTCTGTATCTAGCATAACTAAGAACAGGTTACTTTATCTGTTACCAATTGCTTATATTGCACAAATTCCAATATTTTATATCTAGGGACAATCACCATTTAGTAAAACGAACGAGTCTCATCTTTGCTCCGACATTTTGATGGGTGAGGTAAATTATGATCTTATAGAAAATATTCTATTAATTTTAGCTCGTTTCAAACTTACAAATGGGCACAAATGACAATTGTAATTCTTCATTATTACGAGTCGTGCTTTTCGTTGATTATGGTAGTCAAGGGGATGGTGATTATTATTTCAAATATACTGTGATTACATATATTAAATTTACATATGTATTAAAGACCATGTATTTAACAATGACATTTACTGATTTAAGGAAAAGACATTATAATAACGAAATCTTTTCTTTTTCTCATAACAGTATCTACCAATGTATACTAGTCTCCAGATGTAAGTTTTGGTTGATTACAAATATATTCCCAATTAAGCCATAAATATAATGCTACAGATATTTAATCTTATATATCAGCGACACCAGTACCCCACAATTTGGACTAAGACTACTGTTCTTCCACTCCTTAAACCTCAAACCCTATGGAACCAAAGGGGTGTCGGATTACCAAAAGTATCTTCTTAAAAAAATATTCTTAAATTGTATGAGTCCTAGTCCAAGGCTCGTCACCGGTTCTTTAAGCTTTTGTTTATTTTAATATATGGCAGGCTGCTAACTTAACCCTACAACCCTCCTGCCTTGGGAGCGGCAACATCACCCACCAAGCTACTCGATCCACCTAGTGGGTAATGCAGGCGGAGAACACATACAAGAGGATACATGGGTGGCCTTTCTGACAGAAATGTTTAAAAAACAAAACGAAGAACCTTTACCAGAAACGCCAAATATAATAACTGAGGAAAAGACCGAAATCTCCCAAAACGATGTGAAAGAAGGAATAAACAAATTAAAAAACAGAAAGTCACCAGGAGAAGATCAAATACCAAATGAACTCTTAAAATATGGAGGTGATTACCTTGTACAACAACTGCAACTTCTTATTAATAAAATAATCACCACGAACAAAATACCAGATGAATGGAGGAGAGCGATCATGGTGATGTTCTTCAAAAAAGGAGATAAGAAAGACCCAATAATTATCGAGCAATAAACCTTTTAAATACAACACTCAAATTGACAACAAGAATAATAGCGACAAAAATAAACGAACGATCTCTGCAAGAGGAACAGCAAGGATTTCGGACAGGAAGATCATGCACGGATGCAGTTTTTGTAATAAGACAAATAAAAGAAAAGTCGCTGGAATACAACAAACCAGCATATATGTGTCTGATAGATTTGAAGAAAGCGTTTGATAGAGTGAGAATTCGGGACGCGATACATTTATTATATGAAAAGGAAATATCACTGGATTTAGTAAAAACCATTGAGAATATATATAAAGATAACATAGCTATGGTAAGATGTAAAGGAAAACTATCGCAACCTATCAAATATGAAACTGGCATTAGACAAGGAGATTCGCTGAGCCCATTAATATTTAATCTGATAATGGATGAAATCATAAAGAAAGTTAAAAAAGAAGAGGATATAGAATGGGAGAAAAGGAAATAAGGATAATATGCTACGCCGACGACGCCATAATAACAGCCGAAAATGAAGATGACCTACAAAGATTAATTAAAGAATTCGAAGATACGGCGCTCATATACAACATGGTGATCTCAACAGAGAAAACTAAAGCGATAGTGATATCAGCGGAACCGAGACGATGTAAACTAGTCGTAAATAACAAAATAATAGAACAAGTGATGGAAACTGAATACTTGGAATAAAACTGTCAAGCTAAGGAATAGTGGAAGAAGTACAAAAGCAAACAGAGCAGCAGGATGTCTCAACAACACAATCTGGAGAAACAAATACGTCACAACGGAAACGAAAACCAGGTATATAAATCAACAATAAGACCGATAATGACGTACACAGCGGAAACAAGAGCAGATACGGCGAAAACACAAAGACTGCTGGAAACAACAAAAATGAAAGTCTTACGAAAAATAACAAACCAAACTCGAAGAGACAGAGTAAGAAGGAAGGAAATACGAGCGAGATGTGGTATAGAGGAAATAAACGCGTGGCTCAAAAGAAAAAAAGTGGAATAGAATCAACACATCGAATGAATGACAGAAAATAGAATAGTACGAATAGCAAGAGACAAATTGTCAAATGGAAGATCATTGGGACGACCGAGGAACAGATGGTCAGACAACGTCAATTGAGGCTAAAAAGCGAAGTAAAATAGCCATTAAGCCTACGTATAAAGTAGGAAGAAGAAGAAGGAGAAATTGTATGAGTTAAATGCTACCCAGATTAATATGAAAATGAAACACCCATTTTGGCTAATTAAAACATGTTTATTAAAAGAAATATGGAAGCTAATAAATTTACTAAAGTATTAATAACTAAATGCCGCAACTTGGGTAGATTACAGTTAGCAGAACTTTACTTGTGGTGGAGATCAGGGATGTAGTGCGGTAGTTTTTACAGTCAGTTGGTGAGCCGGATATGAAAGTGAGTTTCACCAATTATCTGGCCATTGTCCTGTATTCCAGATGTCATTACACAGTTTGAACATTACTTCCATTCCTATGTCTTCCATTTCTTCAAGTGCTTTCGCCGTGATTCCGTCTTCTCCTTGAAATTTTCCAGTTTTTAAAATTTTTCGATTTTGTCTTTGTTTTTCATGTCGTAAACTGTAGCTCATCCAATATCATAGAATCTAGATATCGCAGTCGCAGTTTCACACTAGTGTCTCTTAATAATATCCCATTTATCTTTTAGAGTCAGCGTTTTGTGCTTTCATTTTGAACTTGTGCTTGCTATTGAGCTGAACTTTCTAAACGAATTAAATAAAAGTTTGGCACTACGTATAACTGTATCTAAAAGCTCTATCAAACCGAACTGCTCACGGGAAACACACGAAATGAAGCATCCGGTAAGAATGAGATTCTTATGTCGCGACAGGTTTCAGTCCAAGCAGACACGGCGGCGACCCTGACGGGAAATGCGTCGGACTACCGAACATGCCGGATTGCAAAACGTCCGAGTATCAAGGGTGTACAATTGTGTGTCATTAATAAAGATTGCAAGAAACAAATTATACGTATATTCTGACTCTGTACACCAAAGATGAGATACTGAAATAGGAGTATCTATAACAGTTCCACCAGATTCGAGTTGTATACCTACACTGTATTCCCGCTTATTACCTTATGGTGGATGTGGTAAATTTTTTCGTAATAAATCTCCGTCTAGTATTTTTTTTACTTTTTTAATACAAATACCTTACACTTTCTAAATTTTCTTCTTTAAATTAGCGTAAATTTATTGCATCCTTATTTAATAATCTATTATAGCATCTAACTTATCTTTTCCATAATTTCAGCTCTTACACTATACACTCATAGAATAAACGGTTATAAATTTCTGATACAATGACAGGAAATGCCTGAGGATACTTATTAGACTTAAACACAATAAAGTGTCTTTAATGAAATGCTGACATTCCCATCCGAGTTTTTGTAAATGACTATTTGAAATAAGTTAAAAATGTTTATGATCGTGAATTATTTTCAAAATAGTTTTAATTATAATTCCATAGAAGAAAATATTTTTTTAACTCGCAAATAATTACGTCGTAATTGCATGTGTAAAATGGAATTTAGGACATATTATAAGTAAAATCGTTGCCATTTTTGTTATGTGTGTTTGTAAACTTTAATATTCTTATAGATTAGTTTTTTAATTGCAATTAATACCGACCTACAACACATGAGGACACTTAATGAGGACATTGTCACATGAGACAATGCTTTGCGAATAGATATTAGAAAATTTATAAACCGAAGAGTTCTACAAACTATAAAACAAAATTCAAGCATGAAGGTGATGAGAGACGGTAAATAACATCAATTGTTATTTGTCAATTATTTCAATTCTCATTGGTCGCTACATAATTCTTCCGAAATATAAAAATATCTTAATCGAAATCACTGATCAAAACTACATTAAGTAAAGTTTCTTTTGACACAGAGGTATCCTTAGTTGAAAAGACTTTATCACAATTTTTTTCCATTCTTCAACAGTAAATGTATCAAAAAAACTCATCGGATAATTCCATAACGTCATTTAATTCGAAGCTGATATTTTTTGAGCCAACAAAATTTTTGAGATCAGCCCAAACCAGTTCCATCGGATTTATGTAGATTCGGATGGTATGGTGGCAGTCGTAATAACTGATGTCCAAAACTTAAATTATAGTTATATAACTATGACTATATACAATTCATAGTTATATAGCTACTTTTGAGATGTAGAAGTTGTTGCGTTCTGCACATACGATAACCTCAATTTAACAATTGGGGTCATGAGAAAGGGGAAAGAATATATTATGTTTAATCTAGAATTCGCTGGTTTCCCTTTCGCATTGGGTATGTAAATCCCCATAAAATCCGTATATATACAATCCGAAGGCAAGTACGTCTTGTCTGTGAAAATAATCGTTCAGTTTCACTACAAGAAAATAGCTTCAGAACAATATTAAAAGTTTAATGTGCAGAATTTCCACATTTTGCGTTAATATTTTATTTAATTAGACAGTTTTTAAAAGTTTTATTATTGTTTCAGGTTCAGCATTACATCCTTGTAGTTCAAGCTCAAGACTCTGGCCATCCTGCACTATCCAGTACTCTAACAGTGTACTGCAACGTCTTGGATCTCAACGACAATGCTCCTCTTTTCGACCCAATGTCCTACAGCAATGAAGTGTTCGAAAATGTGACCGTCGGAACCGCTGTGGTTACCGTTAGTGCTACTGACGCTGATTCTGGTAAGTAAATTGATAAAAAATTGAACGTAATATATTCTTCTCTTGGATATTGTTTATTAGATGATATTATCTAAAGGTTAAGATGGTGGTGGAAAACTATTAAAGAACAAATGAACAATGTAACGGAAAAACATCTAAAAGTAACACCTAGAAATAACAAACAGGAATGGATGACAGAAGAGATTTTACAATTAATGAACAAACGAAGAGAATCTAAAGCAAAAAATGACAAGGACGGAGGATACAAAAGACTAAATCGAATAATTCGAAAAAAAAATAACCGTAGCAAAAGAGAAATGGCTGGAAACAAAATGCGTTGAAATAGAAGAACTGCAACAAAGGCACGATTTTTTTAATTTACATAAAAAGGTAAAAGAGTTTACATCGACTACCAAGAGAACGACTTTTCACACCATGCTGAATACGGATGACAAACTGCTAGAATCAACGGAAGATAAACTGAAAGAATGGGAAAACTATATTAAAATTCTTTTTCACGACATACGAGAAGAACCAAGATTGGAAAATAACAACGAAAGGCCAACTATTCTGAAATCTGAAATCATAAATGCAATTAATCATCTCAAAATAAATAAAAGCCCAGGTCCAGACGAAATATACCCAGAAACGTTCAAATTAATCAGCGAAGAAATTATTGAATTATTTGTCCTTTTATTTAATCGCATTTATGATACAGGTAAAATACCCGAAGATTGGTTGGAGTTGACTCTTCATCCCACTACCAAAAAAGCCAAACCCACAACACTGCAATGAGTTCCGTCTGATAAGCCTTATGAGTCATGCAGTAAAAGTCCTACTAAAAATCGTACATAATCGTATCTATAGAAAGTGCGAAACAATCATCGGAGACGATCAGTTTGGATTCAGAGCCGGCATGTGAACGAGAGAAGCCCTGTTCAGTTTACTAGTTCTCGCCCAAAAGTGCTACGACCAACAGAAAGATATATTTATATGCTTTATAGACTTCGAAAAAGCATTTGATAGAGTAAGACACGACCTACTATTAGAACGTTTGCAAGAAGTCGGTTTAGATGGAAAAGACATCAAATTCTTAAAAAACTTGTACTGGAACCAAAACGCCAGAGTTAGGATCGAAGGTTCCACATCTGCAGAAGTATAAATTAAGAGGGGAGTTAGACAAGGATGTGTTCTGTCGCCTCTGCTGTTTAATCTTTACTTAGAGTTTCTATTTAAAGAAGCATTGGAGGATTCCAAGGATGGAGTCACGGTGAATGGCGTAAATATCAACAGTATCAGATACGCCGATGATGGCAGAAGTATGTAAAGTTTCTCATGACTCACCCTGTATTTTAGCGTTTATTACGCAGTTTGAAAACATAAAACACTGTCTACTTTCTACAATTCAAAGTAGAGACCTCCTAGATGTCATATTTTTAGTCTAAAAAACACATCATAGTGTGATCGAAGCACAAAATTTGAGACATAAATAACAGACATTCATGCTTGCTAGTGCATTCAAATGTAGTCAGTTTGGTAACCAGAGTAACCTGTAACTTTTTCTGTTTACAAATTTATTTCATCTAAAATCATATTAAAAATGTTCATAGGAATTCATAACTCAAGTTAGTTTTTGTCCAACAACAAAAATGTAAAGTATTTTCTAAGTTTTTAAATAAATCCATCCGAACTGTTTATAGAAAACAAGAAAAGTAGCTAAACGCTGCTACAAAAATGTATCTCTAACTATAGAGAATAGTTAAAGGTCGTTCTCGTCAATCGTAGAATTTCCTGGTAATCACCATCCTCTATCCTATATGGTGACTCTATAAATGTCTGCCGAACACCAGATCTATTAACCAGTGACGTCCTTCATATGGTTGTGTATCAAACTAATAGTTTTTATGTTATTTATAAGGACATCGCAATGAACATACTCATACTGAGATTTTATGATTAGTTGGCACGTGAATTTGATAACAATACAAAATGCCGTTTAAAGAAACATTATGTGACAACTTGTGGAAACAAGTTAGAATAAGTATACCTATCTTACACCAGAAAAGCACAATACATAAATATCTATTATTAAAAGAATCTGAAAAGTCAAGGTTATAATTGTAAATGCATCAAGGATCCGATGTATAACTACAGCAGTTACTTTAAAATCTTAGTTCTAACTGTAAGAGAATTGTAATAGTAGAACATGTCAGTCAATCAGACTAGTAAATTTATTATCATTAAACTGTAACATTTGTATTACAGAATTATAGAGGCTATAAAATTGTACTAAAATACTCAAACTCTTTAAGTTAAGTTTAAGAACGGAACAGGACGGTGCAAAAAAATTGTGAATATTATAACTTGTACATTAACTATTTTAATCTTCATCTTTTGGTGGCTATCCTCTGTGTATGTTGTCAATCACGTTGGTCCACATAACTTTGTTTACAGCTGCTCTAAATAGATGTATGGTAATCATTCCTGCCCACTGTCTGATGTTTTTCAACCACGATGTCCTTCTGCGCCCTTGAGATCTTTTGCCTTCTATCTTGCCTTGTAAAATTAGTTGAATTATTTGATACTTCTCATTGCGCATCACATGCCCTAAGTATGTCATCTTTCTGATTTTCACGATACGCATAATTTCCAGATCTTTATTCATACGTTGGATCACGGTGTTGTTTGTAACATAATGGATATATGAAATTCTGAGCATGCTGCGGTAGCATCACATTTTGAAGGCTTCTAATCGTTTGGATGTTGCCTCTATCAAGGTCCAGGCTTAGGCGATTGAAGACATCTTATTTCCTCTGAGTGATCCCATTTCTTATTTAGACTGCATCCAAGATATGTAATGTTGTCGACTATTATCAAGGGTTCATTATTAGCTGTGATTTGGTGCTGTATTACGTCGTTTTTACTTACTACAAGAATTTTGGTCTTCTTACAGTTTAATTTCATGCCGTATCTGTCACAGACTTCCACTACACGGTCTATTAATGTTTGCAGATTCTCCGCATTATCAGCAATCAAAACCGTATCGTCCGCATATCTTAAATTGTTTATGATTTCACCATTGATTTTTATACCTTCTCTTAAACCATCAATAGCTTCCCTGAACAGCATTTCTGAGTAAGTATTCAACAACGTCGGTGAGAAAATGAGGCCCTGCCGTATCTGAAATAATTTTTGATGTTACACCTTGTCAAATGCTTTTCCAAAGTCTATAAAGCATGTGTAGACTTCCAAATTCACGTCTCCAGCTCTTTGTATCAATACTTGTATGGAAAATAGGTTCTCGCATTCCCAATCCGCTTCTAAACCCAAAACAAACACTGCTAATAGAGAAAACGATTAGAAACAGAAAGAACGATTTTGAGTGCATGGCTCATTAACCATGGCGCCCTAGACAAGACTTTACTTGCTTTCCCTCTTCTAAATATCATCGAAGTGTCCGCTTTGAGGTGTGATACTGTTGCATTTTTGATTTCTTTAACAAAAGAAATCATATCAATACAGCAAGCAAAATATTCAGTAGAATAAGTATATATTATGGCTGGCTATATTACTCAAAACTGTATTTTGATATTTGTCTATGAAAAAATGTAATAAATCAAAAACTATACACTAAAATAAGGACATGTACACGATTATTATTGTCTACAAAACATGTAAGTACAATTAATATAATAAAAACTTATCTATTAGAACAAGTTATGATTTTTTTAAAAATTATGGAATGAATAACCAGCTTGTACAATGGCAACTTTTCCCAAAAATGACGTACTGTGCTAAAGTCATCGAGCAAAAAGACAATAGAGGGAATGTAAAGGTAGTGGGGGCAAACATATTGTTAGACAGGAAGTGCGATCTTTAGAGGCCACATTAAACAAGGAAAGAGAGTCTCTCTCCTTGTTTGACATCAAATTTAGTTGGGTTATGTTATTGTTTGTCCCAAATGTCACATGAAATCTGATTTATATTGAAGTTTTTTAACAATTGTGTCGCATTTTAGACTCTTATCATTAATAATTAATTAAAACTTTCTCGTCTAAAACACATTCTGAAAAATATTATATAGCTACTGTTGATAAGTGTCGGAAAATTTAAATTTCGCGCATCAGAGGCCACTTTTTTGGTCTCCTTTTCATAAGGATTAGATTCCCTCTTTTGTCTTATTGCTCGATGGCTAAAGTACAGTGAATCGACACTAAATTTGTATTACTATGTTAGTATCAATATTGCTATCGTTTAAACATAAAAATAGTAGGAAATTTGTTAGATGGACATATTTTACCGTACATGGCCATGTTACCTACACCTACCTCATATAAACTAAATAGTATGTTTATAAATAATAATTATATTTATATGAAATGTTTTTAAAACGAGAATTACTATAAAAATTTAAACAGATTATTCAATGATATTTGGACAGCGCCAAGCTATTTAGATACCTAAAAGTTCAACAAAGAAAAGGCAGACCAGTAGTTAAAATTGACAATAGATCATGGGAAACTCACTTCACAGAACTATATAGATGCAAAGAAATGTAAGATTTAAGAACAAGTAGGCGCAATAAAAGATATTAAAGATAATGAAATAGGGATACCAACGGATAATGAATATTTAGACATCGTTCAAAAAAGTAAACGGAAAAGAACACCTGGCCCAGATGAAATTCCCAATGAGCTAATTAAAAACGGCGAAAATCTTCTTATGGGAAGAGACAAGGAAAGATTAAAAGAAGCAGTAACAGTCCTGGCAAAAGAAGCCCGGAAAGGAGGTCTAGAAATTAACGAAGGAAAAACAACATATCTACTCTGCTCTAGAAGAGAAGTTAACACGACGACGAGAGAAATAAAAATAGAAAACTACACTTTTGAAAGAGTCCAACAATTTAGATATTTCGGAGTACTAGTGAATGGCCAAATCAAGAGAAGTGAAGAAGTAAGGGAATGAATACTAGCAGGCAACAAAACATACTGGAGATATTATAGGCTTATGAAGGACAAGAA